CTGTACGGATACTGCTACCAGGACAGCAACGATATAAAGGACACGGTGACGGCCATCACGGAGCTGGGAAGCCCTCTGGAGATGATCACGCTGCTGCAGACGCCCTGGGACGAGAGATTCAGGGTGAGTCTGGCCTCATATCACACATCTACTGTCCGTCTGGAGCTCCAGACTTCATTTAGGCTTATCAGCTGTGAACAAATTGAGTCAGTGATTTTTCTAACGTTACTATGATAAATAATTAAATATTATTGTGATTAACCTAGAAATACATAGTGTTTAAAAATATATAATTTAATGTAATTGTGATTTATAGATTATTTGACATTGTAAAAAAAAAATATATATATATATATAAACAAACATACACGTATATACAATGTGGCTCAAAAGTCTGAAACCTAAAACTTACTTATTACGTATTTATTTATTTAATCTAGAAATACATAGAGCGTTTTCAAATTTGTTTAAAAAAAAATACCTTTTTTACATTCAGCATAGTAAAAAAAATAAAGGTTATTGTCAATTAAAAATTATTTATGACATTGTAAAATATTATATACAGTAAGGCCCAAAAGTCTGAAACCATACTGAAAAAAATATATTACTGATTGATTGAAAACCTAAATAAATAGAAAGTTTTAGGATTTTGACTAAATGTAAAAACAGTCATGTTTATTTTTCATTTCACCATTTTTAGATTCAGCTTAATAAAAATGTAAAGGTTAACTTTGATGAAATATCATTGTAAAATAGTATAAACAGTCTGAAACATGCCTGAAAATCTGAATATGTATTTATTTATTTTTATTTAGCTAGTTAGTTAGTTAGTTAGTTAGTCTTTAAAACTTAAAGTTAATTTAACTTAAACTTTAACTTAAAATTAAAACGTTAAATTCAACTTTTCATGAAAATGATGCTGATAATATAATTTCATTTTTTTATTTATATTTTTCTATTTCTGTATTTGTATTAACTAACGTTAACAAAGATTAAAAAAACAAAGCATTCTCACTAGTGGTCTCAGACTTTTGGACACCGCTGAATATATTCTGATATATTATTTGAGAAAGATGAATAGATTGGGAGAGGCCAGGAGGTACAGCTCATTTACCCTGAATAAACAAACAGGGGAACAAAATTACATTCATTTGATAAAATTACTACCGTTTCATAATGCACTATAAACATTTTGACGACCTCTAACTGTGCAAAGCCACGGGTCAGCGGTCCATGCGTTTGCCTCAAACCCAGTCAGGTGCTCATGTGGGTAACACAGGTTTGAGTCCTGCCTGCGACATTTCCTAATCCCATGTCCCTAATCAAACACGTACCAAAAAGCAATCCATAGTAGAGCTGAACCTGTTTCACAGCAGAGCTTGCTGTGTGGGACGTCCTGTACCGTGCTCTCTCTGAACTTCCTGTTAAGTAGCACAGCTTTAGCCTGATCGCTATCGCCCTGGCAACATCCCATAATGATCTGCGATGACTTCCTGTGGCCAAAGCGCATCCTGTCCAGAGAGGATGAAACCGAATGAGATCCCAATGCATGAGCTCTTCCTCTGATAACAGGATTTATGCAGAGCCGGACAGTAATGGAGTACATTTACTCGAGTACAGTACTTAAGTACAATTTTGAGGGATCTGTACTTTACTTGAGTATCATTTTTGGGGAGTACTCATGACTTTACTCAAGTACATTTGAGAGGCAAATATTGTACTCTTTACTCCAATACATTTCTATCCATAACCGTGAGTACCCGAGTAAAAAAAAAAAAAAAGTAAAAAAAAAAGAAAAATCTCGGAAACCCTCAATTTGTTGTTTCCCTCTCAAACGTGATTGGATTGTGCAGGCGCCACTGATTGGGACAGCCTATCAGCAATCACTTTCAGCTTTCCGCCAAAGTCAACTCCATGGTCAGATTTTATATTACACATTATTTGTAAGCCAAGCATTTGGTTTGATGTTCTTGAGTATGTGGTGTGTTTAACACAGTCAGGTTCAAATGTGGCAGTGGCGTAGCCACGGTGGAATTTCTGATTTCTTTAAAAAAAAAAAACTTTGGGAGGCAAAATATATTTTAACTGATTATGTGAATTACACTGCGCAAACCAAAGTAGGCTACTACCCAGCGAATGAAGAAGGGTTGGCGCTCAGTCTTCACAGTACATAAAATAATAATTTTGTTTTATTTTATTTTTCGGGTTTGCATTTATGAGGAAAAAACAATGTTATGGACGTGTTCTCCGTTACGGACGTGAGCGCTCTGAAAGCGGCATAAAAAATGCTTTAAAACTTTCACAGAGACATCAAACAGAAAAACACAAAACCTTTCTTTAACCTGAATTTCGTTTTGCATTAATTGTATCTTAATTTTAATCAATGTTTCATCAACCAATTGCCTGGGTTTTATAAATAAGAAGTAAATAGCAGACGATAGATAAGAAATGGAGGCGCCGGCACGTGAACTGGATCTCGTCTCATAAATGAACCGAAACTCAGTGTATAAGGTAGCCTACTTGCCTCTCACAGACATGTCTACTTTTAAACAGAACAATTCAAAACGAAAGAAAACAGACTACAGACTGCTCTCTGCTTATGTAATCCGTATGAAATGTGCATTTCTCTCTGGCGCGTTCACTACTGAAGATCGCGAGTCAGCATCGTCAACTTCATCTAGCCGACACTGACAAAGAAAGCACTTGTTTCTTAACAAGTATTTATTAATAAACAATTAAAATATCTCCTTGCTATATTTTACAATTCATAATCATTCCTTTTGCTGGTTCTTTGTGACAGCTTTTAGGTGCTTTATTGGCAGCGCCACCCTTACATGTGGTGTGTGTTTGTATGTGTGTGTGTGTGTGTGTGTGTGTGTGTGTGTGTGTGTGTGTGTGTGTGTGTGTGTGTGTGTGTGTGTTGTCCCCGCATTTAAAGATGGGACCCCCCAAAAATTGAATTAAATTAAATAAAGCAACATGGTAAAAAGATGAAAATGACTTGATTTTACTTTCAATTCCTTTTACATTCTCCAAGGTATTAACATTAAAATTTTTCATAACTCCATGTAGGACGTTTCTGTGCATAAATGTAAGCACTGTGGCAGTAGATTAGTAATGCAATATTTAGAAAATCTACTCTTGTACTCTTGATACTCAAGTACTTTTAAAAATAAGTACTTTAGTACTTTTACTTAAGTAGACATCTGAATGTAGTACTTTTACTAAATTAAATTTAGCAAGGGGTATCTGTACTTTTACTCAAGTAACAAAGCTCTGTACTCTGTCCGCCTCTGGATTTATGTTAAATGAGACATACGATAATCTGTGAACATGGGAGATGTGTTTATATGTTATGAGCTGAGATTTATAGTCAATTAAATAGATTATAAATATGTTCAGATTATAATTGCACTCACAATTTAGCTAAACAGTGCTGGGTAAAAACTGATTATATACAGATTCCAAAAACGAACTACTTGTAATTTGATTACATTACATCTTAAAATAATCATAATCAGACCACAGTTATACTCAGAAGTGTATTTACTGGCCTTCCTCACACTCACACACCCTCACACTGCTTCACAAACACACTCGCTGCACAGAAGCCTCTCGCTAAACATGTCATGCTTTAATAGGGAACGAACACAGTGCACTCGTCTACATGTCAACACCGCGGCTGTAGAGTTCAGCAGAGCAATTCAGAACCGTACTTTAGTTTCAATAGACTTTCAGCAGCCTTTCATTTACCATAACTCATACCCAAGTATTCTGCTAAATATGTTTATTAGTTTCAGAGTGATATTTCAGTCACATTGAATGAATTTCCAGTCTAGAACAATGAAACCCCTTTAATGAGAACGAGGCAAGTTGTGACTTTATGTTCAGTGAATTAAGAGTTCCTGCTGTTGATTTTCTCATGCTTTTTATTGCCTCTTTAAGGCTTTTCTTGGCTGTCTCCTTTCATTTCGTACTATTTTTAAACATTTGATGTATTCCTTTATATATTTTACACAGCTTTGAGGTTTTGAGAGTAACCTACTTGTGTGTGTGTGTGTGTGTGTGTGTGTGTGTGTGTGTGTGTGTGTGTGTGTGTGTGTGTGTGTGTGTGTGTGTGGTTTTGGACACAATATGTGAAGTTTCATAGCGCCGCACACAATTCTGATTTGTTTATTAAATATTTAAGGCTATCATTTTGCAAGTGATGAATTCTGGTATAGTGTATTTAAAGGGATGGTTCACCCCAAAAATGTAATTCTGTCATCATTTACTCACCCTCATGTTGTTCCAAACCTGTATGAATGTCTTTCTTCTGCTGAAAACAAAAGAAGATATTTAGAAGAATGTTGGTAACGAAAGAATTATTTACTTATTATACAGTCAATATCTTCTTTTGTGTTCAACAGAAGAAGAAAAAACACTTATCGGTTCGGAACAAATTGAGGGCGAGTAAATGATGACCGAATGTTCATTTTTGGGTGAACTATCCCTTTAATATCAACATCTACATTGGATGTCTTGGTAATGATGACACAACACCAAACACAATACCAAAAGACTTTCTAATAATGACTATAACTAGTAATATATAGGAAAACAAACCCGGTTATTTGAAATATAAACATTTTGTAACATTATTAATGGTTTTACTGAAGCTTTTGATCAATTTAATGCATGCTTGCTGAATAAAAATATTTATTTATTTCAACCATATATATATATTTGAATTGCAAGTGCCAGAGACAGTAATATGCTGCATCTGAAATCACTCATAATTCACTTATTCACTATTTACTATTTACTAAATGTGACAGTTTGCTAAATGTGTGAATTTGGACAGTTCTAAGCACGACTGTGATGCACATAAACACACGGCACATTGTGTATGAGTTTACATAAGTGTTGCGTCCCAAATGAAGCATTTCCAAATTTTAATCAGATTGCAAGTTTTAGGATTTCATGCATTTATTTTATTTTTTTTGCTGTTCAGACTCCAAACAACAGATTTGAGTAAACGGATTTGAGTCAGATATGCCCAAAGAAACTGAATAGCTGTCTGTCTGAACAAAGCCAAATAGTTGCGTTCATTCCACGAATGCTAGTTTGTAAATGCTAATGCG